ACATGACCTATGAGAGTCCAACCACCCAGAACATAATTTGCGGCTCGAAGTTTGTTTTCTTTCATCCCGAAAACCGCACTCACTCTCTTTTCCACGGTCCCGTGGCATTCAAACCATATGCGTCAAATATATTCAAAGTTGTGAATCACCTAAGGTGCATATTCAATGTTAAAAATAGAAAAGAGTATGAACCCCATTTTGTGGCCTCCAAAAAACTGCAAATATGTTGATAAAAAAAAAAGAAAATGATGCACAGATTACAGTAAGTACATGTAAATGTCATTCTCAATATAGCAACGTACCGCGGGCTGGACGAAGTAATGGCGGCGCGCTACGGATCAATGTTGCGACGGACGTGGGGCCGCTACTCCTCGACTATCGTTCGTGGTACAGACCAATCGATCTTCAAGAGCAGAACGTCGAACGGAAGGGATCCAAGTGTGAAATAACCACGACAAATGGTGCACGCAAATTCGCCGTTGTCGTCGGCTGCTGCTTTACACGTCGGAGAAGCAGAGGAAAAAAAACTTTCAGCCTTTCCACTCCGGTGAAGAAGGAAGACCAGCGAAGCTGTACTATGGTGGGAATAAAGTAATGGCCGGCCGCAAGTCAGCAAGCCAGAGTGGAAAGGCTGGAAAGGTTTGCCACCATCTATGAGCGACAGCGGCAACAAGACAACCGGCAACCTGGCTGTCTGGTAGCCGCCGTCGCTCATAGATGGCAGTAGCTGTCTGGAGTGTTGAGTTAACATTCATTTGCTGGCAGACACGATCCGCTGTAAAAATATGCGGTCAGGTGCAGCCACATGACCTCCGGCCATGAGATTCCGTGCTCGTGTTTTGGTTTTCGAGCAGTTGAGCTTTGTGGCTTTATTAAAAATCTACGTAGCTCTGCCACATAAATATTGATTGGGTAGCCTCCTGACACCATAATAAATTGTTTGACAAGAAATTAAAAAATGAAGGACGTTTACAATTCCCTGTAACACCGAATTAGAGCGCAGCTACTGAGGAGGAGGAGGGGAAGGCATGAAGAAGAGGGTATGCCCCTCCTCCTCTCATTCTCCTCCCCCTCCCCATACCCTCCCTCCTCCCTCGTGACCCTTGTCACGTCACTCGTGAAGGCCTCGTGAAGGTCGTCACTGTCACGTCACTCGTGATCCTCGTGACGTCATCATGAGAAACATCCCATAATGCAACGTGCAGTTACGCCGACGCTGCTCATGCCGGAAACGGGCGCCTAAGGGCTGTGCTCTAAAACATTTTTTTGGAGAATCGCCTTGTACCTTTTGATTTGGTGTTTTAGCCTGAGCTCCACGATTGCTTCACTTCTAATCCTGCTTGGTGGTGGCAATCAGATTATCAAGTGGCATTTCATCAGAAGATCATTTTGTCGACATGCAACGTTTCATCGAATCAGCTTGCGACATTTTGTCAACAGCTTTGTTCCATGCAAATTGCCTCAGTCCAAAATACTGTTTCGGTGTTGCCCGATATGGTAGTGTCATATATTTGCGGTGATAGAGACGTTGCTTCATGAACACGCAGGTTTATTTAGTATTGTGTCGGTAGCTGGGCTAACCATCGGCTGCTCGTCCCACATCTCGTATGTGCACCCTGGTCACATGCTTTCCCTAAGCTTCAATTCATCAGTAGGGGCGTGCGTAGGCGACGCTGGACATTGCAGGTAGTCTAGCTTGCTGAACCCTTACCAGTTCCGACGAGGCTTGCCGTAAGCTCTAGCCTGAGTAATACCGAATTTACTCGCAGAATGAACGCACTTTTTTTTCCGAAAAATCGATGCAAAGTTGGGGGGAGCGTTCATTACGCGAAGTAAAATTTTTGCGTCCGTATTTACCTTATTTACTCGCATAATGAACTGACCTTTTATCCTGAAAAATCGAAGTAACTTCTTATCTCTGCGCGCGGCGCGGCGCCCGACCCCGTAACCAAACTAAGCTGTGCAAAAAAAAAAAAAAAAAAAGAAAACTTTTGTTTTCTTTTTTTCGTAATTCCTTGGGTTTTTTTTTTTTTTTTGCCGCCTTTCGCAAGCTGTTTTGTTTGCTTAGGCGTTGCCTCTCCGCTTATCTTTCTTATCTCCTTGCGCGCGGCGCGCGACGCACGACCCCCGTAACCAAACTGCGCTGTACAAAAAACAAAAAGAAAGAAGAAAAGAAAAGCTTCTTTTTTTGTTTTTTTTCTCAGTTCCGTGTTTTTTTTTTTTTTTTTTTTTGTTACCTTTCGCAAGCTGTTTCGTTTGCTTAGAGGGCTTCTCCACTTCTCTTTCTTACCTCCTTGCGCGGGGCGCGCGATCTCCCGTAACCAAACTGCGCTGTGCAAAAAAATAAAAAGTAAAAAGCTTCTCTTTGTTTTTGTTTTCTCTTAGTTCCCTGTTTTTTTTGCCGCTTTTTGCAAGCTGTTTCATTCGCTTAGAGCGCTTCTCCGCTTCTTGCGCGCGAACCCAAAGTCCCGACTGCGCTGTGCAAAAAAAAAAAAAAAAAAAAAAAGCTCTCTTTGTTTTTTTTTCTTGCTTCCGTTGGATCTTTGAGAATTTTTTTTAACGCGTTTTGCAAGGCGTTTTGTTTGCCCACGCTGCACCATGATAAAAAAAGTCCCTTCATTTCGCGCGCGGGGGGGGGGGAGGGGGTCAAAATATTGACGTCCGAGTTGGGGGTGCGTTCATTACGCGAGTGCGTTCATTGGGCGAGTAAATACGGTATTTAAAAAGTGCAACGAGACACCAAAAAGAAACGGAGATTTTAACGCAAGGGATGACGTGCAACCTGTCTGGAAGCCCAGCTTGCCGAACCCGCCTTTCTTAGAACTCCCGAATTTGTTCCCGCAGTGCCGGAGACGTCTGGCATACGTCCAGCAAGCAGAATGAAGCCAGCAATCCAATCAAATCCACATAGAAAAAAATCATTTTCGACGAAACTGCAGGAGCACGCGAGTTTCTACGAAATGTCACAGCATGAGCATCAATAAAACTTGTGTCAATAAAATGTTGTCAATGAAATGTGTTTCGACAAAATGATATGAAACCCCTGCATGGACGTCTGCAGGTTTCATAACAAAATGTTATTTCCAAGAGCCATGCTTGGCACTATAACTCCCTTCCAAATCTCCTTCACTACTTCAAGCCTCTTACGATTCCACAGTGCTCTATGCTTCACTGCAGCAAAATCTCGGCTACCCGTAGCAGTTATATATTTTTTATGTTCACATAGATACTCTGCCCTCTCGTGAATCCAGTGAGAAAAACCTCACGTCAGTCAAACACCACCACAACCACCACTTCTCGTGAATCCATGCTCCCCCCGTGGCAGCAGCGTCGGACGTGTCCGGGGCATGGTGGGGAAGAGGAGAGGAGGATTTTTCTCTCCTTCTCCCGAATCGTTCACTAGAAATGTCTGAAATGTCTGATCATGAAATCTGATCCCGAGGGATGACCAAAGTCTAGTCCCCAAAAGACTTCAATGCAGAACACTCTCGCAGCATAACATAGGGCGATCCTAAAGATAGCTGACCACTTGATAAGGAAGTGCATCACAAAGTCACATGATGAAAAACCCTCCCCTACCCCACACACGGACACACCCCAAACAACCATTAGCTGTACCATACTTCTCCAAAATATACTGACCTTCTTTTGTTAAAACAAAATTAGGAGAAGTGAATTTGGCATACATTTATAGGCTTTATCATTTTTTTTTTTTATTATTTCATCCGGAAACACAAACCCCCATTTATAGATGCTTTCAGGCAGCTGTGCACGGGCCATATAACCAACCGTTAGTTTTTGTTTCCTCTTATTCCATTCGCCTCACTTCATCATTACCATAGCAGGACAGGTCACTGCCACTTTAGGTGCTACATACTGTGTCCCTGTCCCCAGCAACGCCCGCTTCAGTGGGTCAGCCTCTCAATAAGAAAACTGACGGTCAGCAATGAAGGCTCAACCTAGTGCGTGTTTAAAACGTCTATAAGTGTTTGAGTGGAACCACAAATCGTGTTGGTCAATGCTTGCTCGAAACAGCTTCTGAAGGTGGGACTTTGACCATTACAACTTATCACATTCTTGGAGTGACAACTGGCGGAAAAAAAGGAAAGGAGAAGCGGGAGATGATCGGGAATGTGGGTGTGACGGAATTCAAAGCCGAGCAACGGGCAACTTCAGTGGTGCACACGCTGGCTCCGCTCCGGCGTCAAGGAACGCAGCTTGAACATACCCATCTCCGTTTCGGCATCCCGGGCTGGGCTCAAACATACCCACCTCCATCCACCGTGGTAAGGCATAGGGCCCATCAAGTAGAGTCAAAGGCACCAGCAACCAATGGGACCACCGACGCAAGCCACGGCTTGCTGGTGGCTATGCGTAGGGCGAACACGTTTTGAGTGACCAGTTCTTAAGTCTTGTGCTCTTCGAGGATCCTTTTTCATTTCTGTCTTTCCTCCCTTCGTTTATTTATGTTTGTTTTAAATATATGTTTGTATCTGTGTCTCAATCTCCTGATCTCTTTTCTCATCACCCAGGACAAACCATGACACTATTTCACAGCTCGAGTGGTTAGCCAGGGCTGTTCTGGTGCAAGTATTTTTTTAACCGATAGCACACCATATTATATACAAGCAAAATATGAGCACCGGCCAACTAGGATTCGATAAGAATTTTCAATGAATAAAAAAAGTGGGTCAAAGGGATACCGCACGAATGTCCTTGAGGAAGATAGCTCATATCAACTAATATCCTATGGATATTTGTATCTCAGAATCTAGCACAACGAGGAGGTCTTCGGTACACCCTCGGTTCTGTCTGGGTTGGTATAGAGACAGCCGACAAGAGCAACTATTTTTCTTTTTGTCTCGAACAGCATCAATAATTAATTGCTTCTCGAGTTCACGGGCACAACTGGACATCACAAACACGTTGGCCATGTTTTTTCACTCTTTCGGTGCATGAAAATGAGTGAGCAGCTTAATAGTCTAGCAGAGCACGCTCACCTCGAGGCCACTCTTGTGTGCTCTGCTCTGCTTGGCCGGGGGTGTGCCTTTCCCCTGCAGCCATGCCCGGGTCCGTCCGACAGCCGGATTGGGAGAAGGGGACCTGACCCCCCTGCCACCTTCTTTCCTAGTGCCACGATCCAGGGACGACCAGCGACACTTCGCCTTCCCTTTCGGCCGTCTCACCTGAGGTTGCCGCAGGATAAATGCCACATGGTTACTGCCATAAATTGCATGCATTAGACTTTAGAAGTAGAAGTACTCCGTAGTTCGGAGCTGTAACTTGGCTCCTAAACAATGTCCTTTTATCTCGGAGTCTACGCACAGGTATGCAGGGGGAACCCACTCTCCTTTCAAAGCACTCTAGCACACTTGATACTCTCTCCACGGGAAGCCGTATCTGTCCCTAAGTAGCTTAGGCTGGCTCCATCTTTAAAATGAAAATAGGTATCAATCGACCGTACCCTCCTGTTAAATCATTAAACTGCGGCGTGATGTTTCCAAAATATTTATTTCTGCAGTTAGAAAAATTTTACAACCATTTACAGCACCCCACAGAGTAGTTCTAGTAACACAGCAAAATCCCATTGTGAGGCCTGAATAAACAAATAAGGAAACGACATTGATGCAACGGAGTGTAGAAGCCAGAAGGAACCTCGCCTCTTCCAGCCTGCCTGTTGACCGACTCCGCACGTGCAGCTGCTCCCCTCGCACCACACTGCTCTTGTCCAAAGGCAGGAGGTGAAACTGGAACAAAAGGAAGGAGTGCACTTGGCAACCACACGTTGGTTTCTGTGTACTTTGTGAAAAACTGAAGAAGTTTGCTATCCAAGTGAAAACACTAAATTCGTCTTTATTTAGCCTTAGAACTGCCAATACCACCGTTACTTCATACAATTTAATCTGCATGTTAAATAATAAGGTATAATGGTGCTCTGATGCAGCCAGTTAAAGAAGGAAAGCCACTGTCCTCGCCAATACTCCTCGCAACCCCCTGTTTACTTGCTGCACCTGCCGTTAACTCTCCTCTTCATTCTTGAACTCGACTTAGCTGTGGTGTCATTCAAATTACACACTGCACCAGGTGCTGCTTTACCAAAGTAAGCTTAGCAAGCGCCACATGCATGGACGCTGAAGATAACGTCGGCCAGTCCTATCTGCAAGTGTCTTCAAGCAACATTGAAGTTGGTAGTCCTGGGACATCGTTGTGGTTTGCCACCCTTCCTTAGCTTTTTTTAAAGCATGAAATGGTTTCAACGTTACCCCCAATCCCAAACTTTTGTACGTCCGTCCGTCTGTGCATTTTCCGCTAAATTTAGTGGGCAAATTGATATCACGAGACCCATAGACCAATTCAATTTCTCAGCTAAATTTAGCAGGACAATTGATGTCACGTGACCCGACGTCATGGGACATACCGACCAATTCAGTTTCCCTGCTAAATTTAGCGGAAAACTTGATGTTAAGTGACCTATACACCAATTCAGTTTCCCCGCTAAATTTGGCGGGAAAGTCGAGTCACATGACCTATACACCTTGGGGAAATTGACGGCACATGACCTATATGTCAACTCAGTTTCCCTGCTAATTTAGCGGGAAAGTTCCCGTGTTTTGGCCGAAACATCAATTCAGTTTCTCCGGTAAATTTAGCAGGAAATTGGCATCACATGACCTATGCACCAATTCAGTTAGCTGCTAAAATCAGGGGGAAAATTTCCGTCTTGCAACCTAGAAACCAATCCAATATCCCCGCTAATTTTAGCGGGACAAATCGACGTCACGTGATCTGACACCACGTGACTTATGCAACCATTCAGTTTCCCCGCCAACATCTATTCCCTCACCTTATGATGGACTTTGTGCATTATAAGACTTTGAAAGTAAAGGTTGTACTCAGCCAATTTTTCTCATTTGGCTATGTTCTCAACACAAATTCCTGTCATGCCTGGCTTAGCTGGACAAGAACATGCTTGCATTCACCTCACATTCATTACATGTTTTTTTTTCATAAATTTTTAAGTCTTTTTTTTTAGTAAATTTCGGACCTACGTGACATTCACGTGAACATGGTAACATGACAAAATAACTTCTGTAGGCAGATGGTAGAGTGTCACTGTATCCCGATCCATGTGCAAAATCTTAATGAATAATGCAGAAGAAAAAAAAGACCAAGAAAAACAGGCTTACCTCACACTTCCTTTCACTGCGATTAGCCTCGATTTTTTGAGAGATGGCTGCGGCAAGACTCGCGTCTGAAATACAAATACGGTAGAACAAACAGTTCAGCAGTAAATGAGTCGTTACGATTGCACCCACCCGCCTGGGGCATAAAAATATGTGAAATGATATAGTTGTGCAAGCATCTCAAGCAAATTTAAAGGCGCACGCAAAAAAAAAAGTAAAAAAAAATTTAAAAACGAGTACCGTAATGTTTTGAGAGTAGCCAATCTGAACTCAAGAGCAAATTGCATGAAAATAACGAGTGTGCAAACTTTCGGTGTGCAATCAAGAAAAAATGAAAAAATGCTATCTTTAGTTCCTGTGTCCCTAACAACCTTGCTATCGTGGCGAGAGACAATGATGCAAAGACAACTGCACTTTCCAGTCAGCAACATTCGCTTATATCCCGCCATACCTCACTAGTTGCATTTACGCTGAGGTTAGCACAATCCAAACACTGTGATAACAAGAAATGGGCTATCTTTCGGCGTTTAAGAAAAGATATAGCAAATGAAGCCAAAAATAGGGGTGGGTTATCTTTTGGGAGTGGGGCATCTCTAGGGATATTATGGTAGAGAGCAAAAGGGCTCACCAATGTCTGGGTTACGACGGATGTCCACGACTTCTAGCACAATGTTGTTTGTCAAAAGCTCCAGCAGTTCAGTTGCGCCCGCATTTCCAATCGCGCAGTTTTGTAGGTCCAACGCTGCATAGAAAGGGCACCACTTCACGTCACGAAAGCAGCCATGGAATAACTTTGCAAAGCTAGCTATGAGTAAAAACTGCTCCAATTTACCAAGCACGAGCTCACGAAAAAAAGTAGAAACCATAGAAAGGTCAAACCCGTCACAAAGCACCAGCGTTCACCATTGGTTCGACGAAAAATTCTATCTATGCACTCACTTCCGCGACAATAGCATTAAAAACTATCATTTGCCGCTTATTTATCGATGATGCCAACCAACAGCAACATGCCTTTCCAGTCGTGCATCACAAATCAGACAAGAAAGAAAGGAACATCAAACATTCTAACATTTCATATCTATAAAACTACTGAACAAAGTAAAAATCCACACATCCTACAACTGTTCCGACATCAATATTAATTATTCATACATGTCAATTGCAGGTTACAACACACTGTTTAATATAAAACTTATATTGTAAAATAGAGAGCGAGCGCCCCCTCCAAATTTATAAATCATCCAATCAAAATAGGGACGGGGGCCCTTGCTCGGTTCGGAAATAACATTCAAGATGGCGGCCACAAAGATATTAAATTTTCATGAAATGGGAAGGGGTGCTTACGCAAAGGAGGGCACATGCTTGGTATTTTATGGTATTATAAAAGCACAAAATAATTCCGCAAAGTAAGTGCTTCGGCCAGTCGGAGATGACTTCACTTTAGGCATTCGCATCATCGATAACTGCCCTTTGGAGCTCCCGACAAGACGAGGGGAGAGAAGCCCCTCTCTCCAGGCCTCTCCAGAAAATGTTGATTTGCCTTTTGCCCTTTTCTCCCAAGATTTTACAATCAAATACATATAAACAAACAAACCCCGAACCCAGACGTCGTCTCCGAGGGCCGCCACAAGGGCGACGACCCCGGTATCCCCGAGGGGGCTGTTGTTGAGGCTGAGCCGTGCCAGGCCCCCCAGGCCATCCAGCAGCAGGGGCCGGTCCCTTAGACATTGCTTCCAGGCATCCCCGTGGCGACGCAGTCCCTGCAGCCGCAGCAGGGACCCCAGGGGCTCGGCCCCCGCCCCGTCCACCTGGCAGCCGCACAGGCTCAGCACCCGCAGCCCGGTGCTGCCGCGCAGGCCCTGGCAGAGGGCTGGAAGGGCGGGCACGCGAGCCACGTTAGAAAAAGCGTCTTGTCACGCTGGTCGTATGTTGCGCAAAAGACGCGGCGTTTGCTGCAGACGCGACAACAGATGTATCTGCAGACGTGCCTCGAGCATGTTTGCTTTGTACGCAAGAATGCGTAGTGTCTAAAGACGTCTTTTGTACAAACAACGTGGCAGGAGTTGTACAAGAATGAAAAACGTGTCAGGCAGTGCCTGAAGACTGTCACTTGTACGACGTATTAGCAGTGTGACCGCGGCTTAAGTATGGCTCACACACTTCCGTTTGGTTGTCATCGATTGCATTACGACCTTTTGTAACTGTTTAGGACGACAGAACATGCATGTCAGTCACATAGCCCTGGAACACTTCCGATGTATGTATATTTCCTAAAATTTGATCAGTGTTGGGTAAAGTACATCTATAAAGTACTTGAAGTAGTACAAAATTAAATGAAAATTAATGTACTTCAAGTAAAGTAGTAAATACACTGGGTGCAATGTTATTGAAGTAAAGTACTGTACCGCTGGAAAATGAAATTGAAACCAAAATAAATAGTTGACTCACAGGCCGGCAGACGACGCTAGCGCACTAACCTCCTTGTACTCCTTTTGGGAAGTGGGTTGCTTAATCCCCAAGATTTCTACTAGCATGGCAATGAGGGGGGTATAATAGGAGCCACTTAACGGAGTGGGGAAAGTTGGTTCCTTGCGACAGCCGTAGATGCGTCTTAACCCATCCTGACCTTTGCTGGCTATACACCAACTCATATTTTCAAACAAACCGGAGTGCCCCTAGTGGACGCCATTAGCGCCACACATGCGCGATGGAGTGTGGGCAAGCAGCTCGCCGTTGCCCATAAACAAACCATTGAAATGCGATATCGCCATCGGTGTGAGTCCCCATGCCCTTCTTCGAGTTCGAATTGTTGATTCTACGTCTTCCTGAAAATGTCTAACTACTTGAGCAGCCTCAGCGAAGTTACTGAGGCTCGTTACACCGCAAAACTTCGCGTGAATAATGTGACATGCAGTGGTTCATTTTGCGTGGACGCCGCAGAATGTACGCCAAAGCTTGATTCGCATGATGAGATTTCGCTTGCAATTTTCAGTCGCGACGTCGCTTGGGCTACAAAAGCGTGAACAGTAGCCAAGATGGTCGAGTCGATACTGAAAATCGCAGGCAGGATCGGACCAAGTGAATCAGGCATAACAGGTCAGTGATGGCCACTGGTGACAACGATCAACATCTCCTTGTATCTACTGTTTACATCAAGCCTGCTTACCAACCTTCAAACTTAAGTCTTTTGAGGCCTGCACTTACTTCTCATCGCAAGTACCGGGCCCACGTTTGGTCTACAGGCCGGTGTCGTCTAAAAGAGCAGACGACAGTTCGAACGATCAGGCGACCGCTTGAACTTGAAGACGCAGTGAACATAGTCTGCAGGTGGTCCGTACAACTTGACGGTTTTCCGGCGTTCATGTTGGAGCAAAACAAATAAATCTGATGACCACAAGTATCCGTGAATTCAAGCCAAAGTTCTCCCTGCCCAAGCAGTCGTGGTAATCGTGGTCGGACGGCGTCTGGGTAAACACGTAGTGACGCATAGATGCATCACTACGTGTTTACACGTTGGGTCGATATAGAAGTTCTTGGCGCCTTCTGTAAAGGTGTGGGCTTTATTATTGGTAATCTGTATAGGAAAGGCCCCAACAGCAAGCTTGATATCGTTGAAAATTACCCGAGACATGTGATGCGACTAGTGCGTACGTTGGAAAAGAGACGCCGACAAACAAGCCATAATGTCCAAGTCTCCAATCCTCATGCAAAATGGTACTACGCCTAACGAAGTCACTTAGGTGGCATATCAGTAAGTGACCATAAATGGATGACCACGTCTAAAAAATTATAAAGTGCAAAGAAATAGACTTTAGCTAAAATAGTGCTCATTACATTTAAAGAAAAAAAAAAAAAAAAAAACTCATAATTTTAATTTTTTGTGCACCGAAACGTCCATGCACCGAAATGTTCGCGCATCGAAAATTCCCACACCGGAAAGTCTGTGCCCCGAAAAGTCGGGATGAGGACGATTCGTCACATGCACACTCGTCACAGGATGATTCGTCACATAGGAACATTCGTCACAGGATGACTCGTCATGCGGGCAACTGGTCACATCGATCGGGCAGGGGAATAATAGTAAATTGTAAATTTCAACAACTGCCCACATTTCCTGATGAGGAGTTTCACGACTTCACACTGTGACATAAACCAATGGTTAGAAAAACCAATCTTACAATACTCATCCGCTTTTCCTTTCATCATATTACGACTTCAGCAGGCTGACCTAAGTTGCTGGCTTGAACGAGCAATAATCCGACTGGCAGCCAAATAAGTTTTTACTTTGCCTTGCATACACCTCTTCGAGAAAACCAATAAATATTGGAATTCTTTCTGCTGCATGTGTACGAGTACCCCTCGTGCAGCTGCTTGGCTCCACCTCTCTCTGTTGCGATCACCTCCATCCTTTTGAATGTAGTCCAAGTACAAAAATAGTCGCTTTTATATGGCCTCCGCATTCACCGTTTGGGACGAACCCAGAGGCTAAAACGTCTGTTACAAATTCTTCGACCTTGAGAAGCGGAAGACATGCTAAGATAAGAGGTGATCCACTTCATCAGGCCGAACCAACATTTAATGTTCGGGACCGAACCAGAAGCTAAAAAGTTTGTTACAAATTCTTCGCCTTTCAGAAGCCAAAGACATATTGTACTAAGGTATGAGGTGAGGCACGTTGTCCGCCCAAACCAAATTGAACAATACATTTTTGGAAGGACGAACTATAGTAGGATCGGTTGGCCGCGTGACGAGTCATCCCAGGACGAATGTTCCTGTGTGACCAATTGTCCTGTGACGAGTGCGCATGTGACGAATGGACCGTATCCCCGAAAAGTCTGTACACCGAAAAGTTTGTGCACCGAAACATCCGTGCACCGAAAGGTCTGCACCGAAACGTCCTACACCAAAACGCCCTACACTGAAAAGTCCTAGACCTGTTCAATGCATGCTCACAGTGCATGACCAACCAATGGCGGCAGCACATAATCTATGCATCATTTCAAAATTTCGAAAAGAGTCTATTATCTATAATGAATTACCAACTAGGTTAAGTACTTAACCTTTTGCATCACACTTCATGTGCCACGCCTAAAGTTGCTGGAAGGCGGGAAATCTAATTTTTGAGGTAATTAAATACTACTAGCTACTCGGAAAAAAATTTGCGGCGGACAATATTTCTCAGTTCTACTTCACGCTCATTCCGCTTTACGTTTGCACCAGATGATGCACCGCTGATGTGGGACTGGCGGAGCTTTTATTCATATTGGGTAAATGGGAGGGAAGTTGGATGTGAAAGTTTTCAGAATGTAAGATTTTTGTTCTTTTACAGACCTGGGATTTCTATACTACTCTGGGATTTTGTTAGTGCCAGGGTGACTACCATGATTACATACACTTCTGATTATCGTAACTTTTGCAGTCTCTCACCATTGTAGGTTGCAAACTCCTTTAAGCTTAAAACAGAAAACAATATAAAAAAATTTTTGTTTGGAGCTCTCATGTCCACTTGCCTGATTGCTGACCCATTACTGAAAAAGCTACTGATGCAGCCCGAACTTGTCTGATATAGCCCAAAGTTGCAATCAAGTCTTTTGAATGCACTGGCCAAAGAAAAAAATATAATAAAGTGAATTTTCCAAAACCCTCGCTGACTCGCAATGCTCTACCCAAATTCCCATATACTTCCCCAATCTGTCCAAGTTTTCTCTATTTCTAGACACCCTGCAATACAATCATGAACTGACCTTCTAAGCACTGCTTTCCAAGGGGACAGCCATTGAAGCTCAGCTGCCTCAGGGATGTGGCCGCATGAAGACCCTTGATGAAATCAAGCAACACATACATTGTCATCTACACGGCATCATCAGACACCAGAATGGCATTGAGGAATAAAGAACCTTTAAATATGTACCAAGGTTTGTGAAAGATCTAAATCTAAACTAGGAAGCCCATTTAACATGCAACAAAGTTACAAAAACACTTGTATCGTCGAAAGATTTAGCAAACCCTTGTTGTTTCCTCGAACAACACTGCAACAGGTGAAACTCTTTTTGCCTATACTCTGCAGAAACACTTGGTAGAATACTATTATTGGTAGCTGGAAACCAAGCTTGCTTTTCTAACAGATACTATCCATTTTGAGGGTCTCATTGCTAAGGGTAAGAAAACAACCATTTTAACTGCTTCGCCGGCTAGTAACTCAAATTAATCTGAGATGCTTGGACATGATGAAAAACAAAAACAAAACAATATATGCGGTTGTTGCGCCCACATGAAGCACACATCCCACGACGTCAGTATGGTAGCCAGGCTACCGAGCCAATAGGCATAAACAATATTGCCTAGGACCATTCATTTAAACGTTTGAAAAGATGTTGCGGGTAGAGCTCCATTTAAAAAAATGTAATTTGCCAAGGTGAACACCTTTTCCCAACATTAAAATCAATGTTATCAGAAAAACATGCAATGAACACATTTTGGAGACATGCCAAATGCACTCTTTTTTACGCTTCATGGGCTGTATGCAGTGAGAAAACATGTCATGAACAAGCAGTGCACTACCGAATATTTCTACAATCGCCAAGAAGAAAATACTGGTTCCAGTGTGTCGGTGAACAACTGAGGTCAATGCTGGCCGTTTACTCGTCCAGTAGGATCAGACTGCTGGTGCTGGATGAACAATGAGAGCAACAAACATTCGCCTTACATCTGAGGCGACCACCGAAAACTGAGCAGACTCACCGAGGACATTTCTTGGATGTGCACGACCGAAAAGGGGAAGCCGTGGAGTTTCAAGACTTCCAGGCTGGCATTGTTCTTCATGTGCTCCGCAAGAGCAGAGCAGAAGTCACGCAGGTTCGTCGGCGTGAAGAGATGAGGGACGCGGACGTCCCTTTGAACGTTGCGGACAAGTTGCAGGCGGGTCACGTCAGCTGCAGGTTGCAAAAAAACCATTCAATGCTACTATGGTGCCTGGATTGCGTCTCCGACTGGTGTGTTTAGCGTCCTATCCCGCCCATACATCAGAAGTGGTCCCTAAGTGGCAACAAATGATATCACAGAAGCCGGAGTGTCATGCTGTTGCCTGTCACAATCCTGGCGGTTGGCCGCAGAAATGCTGGCGAAAAGCACGAGGGAATGCGAGTGTCGCTGTCGTGACGGCGTCCCAAGCATTCCAACTTCCGGCTGCCGTAGCTTCCGTGGACTGTCACAGTAGAGAGCGACCTGCAGCACAACAGGCGTCTGCTATATATACCACAACTGCTGAGACGCCGCCAGGATCGCGACCGGAGAAAGCATGACACTTCTATGACGTCATCAGGCGGAAATCGAGGGACCACTTTTTTGGGCGCGGTAGACACACCAGTCGGAGACGCGTTCATAATACTACGTCATAATACTATTACTATCATAATACGTCATAATACCACTACTACTATCAAGGAGGTTAGAAGTACTAGGAGAGGGCATGTTGCAATATTGGTGAAGCCTAGTCATAAAACGTTTAAACGACGTTGTGGCCAACGTGACCGCAGATCTCTCTGGCAATTGGTGCGCGTGACATGTCACGTGTGAGATGGATGGTTGCTTGTAGAAGGACTCCTTGCAGGCTTGCGCGCGCTCCGTCCGGTAGGTTTTATCAGATCGAAGGCTAGACTGTGGTGTATTCTAGTACCCCATAGCTAGACGAAGGCTAGCTACGGTCACGTGATGTGGTCACGTTGCCTGATAAGTGAGAAGAGTAAGGAGGAAAATGAGAAAGAGGCGAGGCGTCAAGGGAGCATGGCTTGTGGAGGCTACGCGGCTGACGTCATGCCCTCTCCTACCCTTCTATCCTCCTTGACTACTACTAATAATCTTCATTGGCTCAGGATAGCTGCGGCACCGCAGAAAGGCCCGCATCATGGAGGGCTGCGGAAGGGCAACCCTCAAGGGTTGGAACAATAATAATAATCTCTCTGACTAGCGGCGCACGCCACCATGTACGCACATAAGCTTTGTGCAAATAAATTACAATTACAATTACAAACACGCGTTTCCTTCCCGCGTGCTCTGCGGCGTAACCCCTTTAAACATGTGCGCGAATGGTGTCGAGTTGATCTTACCGACGACCTCGGGGTAGTCGCTGAGGAACGAGGACTTGAAAGAAATGACCTTTAAACTGCCGCCCGATCGAAGCGCTTGAAGCAAAGGCTTCCAATCGTCGGTTCTGATGTTGTCCACGAACAAATCGAGCACGTCGTCATCCGGAATCCTCGATAGCAAGGTTCGACGAGGGCACAGGTAGCTGTTCTGACACAGTTCCTGGTACAAGGAGCGGAATGTCGGCCTCTCGGTGATGTTATTTCGCGGAACGACGTTTCTCTGCTTCGGAAAACTGATTACGGGCATTCTGATGACAGCAGCAGTGTTGACACGTCCAAAGGAACGATGTATCGCATGCCCTTATCGCCGTTCAAGCGAGCCCGCGAGTTAACCGCGATATGGCTACTGGTATTAGGTATCAGCGGTACTAACGACGGTACTAACGTGTCGGTGGGTCGGCGGTATTGGCCTAGCCATCGTTGATATCAGAATTAAACACGAAAAAAAAAAAAGATTGAAACTGTTAAGTTCAAAATATTTCGATAATGCAAAGAAAACGCGAGCAGCATCGCTCTGGAGATTATCGTGACGTAATCGTGACGCACTGATCGTGACGTAATGAGCCTACAAAATAAAAAGCAATAGTAGAAAAGAAACAATATTTCGAGGAACGCTTGTGCGCATGCGCCGTTTCTTCCCATAAGACAAGGCTTGTCTGGAACTTTCTAGACTGGTTCTACTCGGTGCACGCGTTCGTCATTCATCGCAGGACAGTGGTTGGCGCCTTGTCCACAATATCGTCGCTGTAAAGTCCTCACGCTTACATTTTTTTGAAGATATCGTCACACAAGTAATCCCGGTAAGTGCTCACGTGAGTGCTGGCGAACGGTGTCTATATTTCGTTCTGAAACACCTGAACGGCACAAGGATTTGATTCGGCCTCTTTGGTGGTCACTCGTAATTGGGTCCAAAGTGGTGAAATTACAGAACTTCGAACGAGTTTACAGGTATAGAATTTGACGACAGGTGAAAGAGTAGTCGTGAGCAACGAGATATTACATATACCACAAAATTTTGGTAGCTTGTACCCCCTGCCGGCGTTTCACGCTTCCCGAGGAAACCCACGTTTGGTTCTTCGTCGCTTTATTCGATAAGTGCTAGGATTAAGCGATTCGAACCCGTTGGTTTCAGGAATTTCTCGATTGGAGAGCACGCTTTTGTTGGTTCCTACAGGTCGTTCCACAATGGTGAAAGAGACCCTGTACTACGACGTGCTCGGAGTGAAACCAAATTGCACACAAGATGAGTTGAAGAAGGCGTACCGAAAGCTGGCACTCAAATACCACCCGGACAAGAATCCTGCCGAAGGGGAGAAGGTGAGTAACAGTTGTTTTGGTCGCCGATCTCTGCGTTCGGCGTGATCGCAAACCACCAAAAAAGAAAAGGAAGGTGTACGCCGTCATGTCCAGATTTAAAGAAGTGACCAACCTTAAAAAGTCTGGTCACACGACGCCCGAAATATTTTTACGCTGTTAAAGGGATTGTCCGGTCGAAGCCGGAAGTACCTACGCTTTTGCGCTCGTTTACGTCCAGGGAGCCTTCATGTAGACAAACGTCATTTTTATTTTGATATATGATCTCCCGTTATTGATTAAACCTTTCATGAGTGTAGGTACGAAACTGCATCTGAATTTCGCCAATGTCAATGGCTGACATCCGTAGGTGCTGCGTGACGTCATAAAACACAAAGGTTTGTCGGATGGTCGGGATAACAAGTGTTGGTCGATGGATGTCTTGTATTTTGTTTCGAATTATACAGTCTCCTAAGCTGTGCCTTACTGAAATACGTCCTTTTTAATGCAGTTCCCGAGCGTATGCAACGAAAATTGCGCCTTTTAGCAGGGTATTACTCAAAAACAGCCATAAGCTTCGAGCAAACGTATGCCGTTTTGCGCAAACACAATTAGACGGCCAGCGATCGAACTCGGAGCGCTTGCAAAGCAAGGATGCAGATTTTGTCCGGAGCGGCACATAGGTACACAAAGCGGCATCTGGGTATACATGTCGGCGGATCCGCTGGATCGGTGATGAGGCTGCGGGTCGTTCCCTCAGAGGCGATGTCCACTGGTCGAAGGCCAACGGCGAATCGTTCAAATGCATGTCGTCACTTGACTTGGACGAGCTTGGTGAATAGTAGTCACGCTCCATTTTCACAAGCGGGTCAAACAGGATGGGGCTGCACGCGTGCTAAATACAACTTCTGATATCATTTCCAGGTGGCCTAGCTGTTGGTTTCGGTTTCGCTGCATAAGCAAATTGATTGATCCGATTTGGGTGAGGGGTGGATGGACGTAGTTTAAGGGATGGTGGACCGAAATTTGGATTTAAAAAAAAAAATGCTATAGTCGGTTACAAGTCAAGAAGGTAGGAGAAGCTCCACCCACAAGCGTGATGCGCCCGTTTCAAATCTCCGCAGTCGAAAGAAGAGTTCACTGGAAACACTCCTTGTTCCGCTTCAATGGATTCCAACTTGTCTCCGATCCCACTTTTTAAGAAAGCGACCTTTGTATTCATCGGAGAGGGAACCGAGCCCCTGAAAGCAGCCTTTGTATCCATCGGGGGGGAAGCTAATCCCCGAAAGTCGTATTTGTCTCCGTCGCTGGGGGGGAACTCTAATCTCCCTCTCGTGCCTTCCACAATGCTAAGTAAAAGTCGAAAGATAAAGCAAATATGTACAGAAAGGCAAGCCCTTCCTCGCGCGTTGGCCGCGACGTCACGGAAACGGTGGGACGCTATTGGATGCGGAGGAGGGATATCTGATTCCCTTTGAGGGGCATTTGCCGCTACCTTCTTAACCTGTAACTGACTATAGAAATGTAGGCGAGGCGCTACAATCCCTACAACACTACTAGTAACCATTTTGTTCTTAGCCCGAGACTGAGGCAGGAAAAGAGGAAAGTTTCAAAGTAGAAGAAAAATGAACAGTCGAGGGCACGTCTCTATCTCTCTCTATCTAATAGAGACGTGTCCTCGACTGTTCATTTTTCTTCTACTTTGAAACTTTCCTCTTTTCCTGCCTCAGTCTCGGGCTAAGAACAAAATGGTTAACATCCACCAGCTCGCCTGCGCAATCACTACATTATCATTGACTACTAGTAACTTGATACCTCAAATGGACGGCCGTATTTTTGGAAAATGAAGTCGACATTGAACTAGGCCGACGAGGCGCGTGACGTCAAGATACCGAGTTTCCTCCTCTCTTCGCTTCGCTCCCTCAAAGCCGCAAGGCGGAGAAAACGCGAGGCCGTTCCCTCTCCTCCTCGGAGAAACATGACGTCAACATTCCTGCCAAATGCGCCTCTTTTTTAGAAAAATACGGTCATCCGTTTGAGATATCGCTGTATGAGTGATGTTTTGGTGTTCATAGCATCCCGTTGCACGCTTTTGCCGCGTGTTTTGGGGAATCCAGATTTCGGTTCAGCATCCCTTTAACATGGTTGGCACAGTATCACACCTCAGCTTATGAGCCTTCTGTCCGCTAAGAGCTCAGCTCGCAGCTCTATTCTGTGGAATGATGCTGCATAAGTGGGATCTCGATCTTGACGGGAACCCAGACTCTACACACGGAGACGATACACTTTCCTCGTCACTGCACGTCTCGCGGAAAGGTTTAGAACGTCATGTCTTGGCTCGCATGTGCTGCCCGGTGGTTGTGACACCCAACCCCGCAACAAAAATCTCGCCGAACCACGATACAAGTTGAGCACAACAACAAAAACGAAACACGCTGAGGTGTTCACTCGCAGGTAAACAACGAGACAGAAATGTCCCCTTTGTGTTTTGTGATGTTGGAGCTTCAATGTTGCCAATGAAAGCAGCGTTTACGCTAGAATGTGATTAAAACAGTATAAATTCAATTGCTCACGCAGAAGGGCATATAAAATTCAGATATTGCACGTAGGATGCGTCTCGAGGCAATAACAATGATATTCAATTGTTTTCTCAAATACAAAATTTGACCCGACAATCCCTTTAAGAGGATTATAAGACTATTGTTTGTTCTTGCATAGTGGCCATTTGCTGTGGTTCATATTGTCTACCTGGTGCAATTGCGTAAGGGGATATTTTATTGCCCAAGGTAACAAAGGAGCGGGCATGGAGAAAACCTGTTTAGGTGCGGCAATGTTAGCAACATCCCGATGTACCGAGATGTGCATAGTTGAATTGACCCATAATAAAACATGTTTATTAAAAAAGTTAATTAAGGTCTTTGAACCTGGCTGGTTTGCTTCCAGTCTTGGAGACTAGCGGTAACCCTGGCACATATTGTAGCAGGGAGACAGAACCTTTAGTTTTTTATTTGGGTGTCTGTGCCACGACATGTAATAGTGCCTCTCAAAATGCTGCTCGATCGTTTCCTCACCTTGCAGGTGTCGTTCGTAACAGGCCTTATCAGAAATTGCTTGGTGGTCTAACAACACTGAGTGGCGCCATTTTAATGTTGGCAAGCGTCTTCAGTACCGAAGCACAGTGGAGGCACCGGAGAGGGACAGCTGTGTTTTCCGACGTAGGAAGGAGATGAAGTGTGATGTTTGTTTGATACCATTTGGTGTGAGATACGAAACAACACAAGAACATGTTCGTGAAATTGTGTCTTGTAGCGTATGCCAATTCCTTCCTTACCATGGGGAGAGGTGATTTCCAAAGAATGGTCAAAACATTTTTTTTAATGTAGAACATTCTTTGACTAGGTGTTCAGCATTTCATGAAGCCCAAAATTGAAGCCTGGATAAAAGCATGGCCCCAAGGCTTGGCACTGATTGTTTAACGGGTGGGAGAGGAGTGAGGTGATCGACGCTAATTGGTTAACTGGAAGGTCATGTGGCCAGGGGTGGAATAAGGAGAGGAGGCAGGGTGGCGGAGCAGTGAGAAATTTCTGGAAGATCGCCAGGCTTATCATATCAAGTGTACTCTGCCACATTAAATTATCTGATGAAGAGCACAGTCATTGCAGGTGTCTTGCTCAACAGGCTAGCTGCGCTGCTAAACAATGATATAAAGATATAAACGTTTGTAATGCTGGAACGTTTCATATGCCACACAAATGCCTAGCAATTCACCAGAATTTTTTAAAATTTTTATTTGAAGAATTGGCTTGTGGCTCATTATGATAGATCAGTGTAGCCAAAACCTGCATTTTACAGGAAAATAAAGAAATCTTGCTATGTGTTACAATGTTTTTCACATTTAATTGTTCAACTTGTAAATTATGCAAAAATGAGAATAGGTTAGAAAATTTACAGCTGTTGGTTTTGTTATAGCTTGGCTTGTAGGTTCTCATGGTGTCTATGAATCAGAAAACTGGGAATTGCCAGGGAATTTAACAAGTCTGGAAAAGTTTGGGAATTTGTCAGGGGAAACTGAGCTTTCCTATTGTAAGTTACAGCTCAGGAAGGTTGAGCGAGGGAAAGCAAGGCCAGGGAGGGTGAAGCAGATGCAATGCTGGAGAGTGGATGCCTAAGTGACTGCAAAAGACTAGTGTCTGGTGCGACACACTTTGCAGATGACTTTGCCAGCATGCCAACGCAAATCCCTGCTCAGAAACTGGGTCTTGGGGGAGCCCAGAGGTTCGATCTTAATTGCCCTCCTCTCGAAACGTGTGCATCAAGACAAACTTCCTTAGTCCATTAGCTAGGAATGCTTTGTTGGAAACGTCGAGGAAAAATCTAGTAGCCGAATGGGTAGTCTACGATGCTGTGTCATTTGCCAGTGGGTTCGCCAATGCTGAAAATTCTGTAGATGGTGCATAAAGCAAGCAGCCAATGGAAAGAAAAATTGTAGAAAATAAAGGTGGAAAGAACTAAGGCCAACAGGACTGACTTCATAAGAAAACTTGCCGTGACTCTTGTAAAGAAGCTTGAATCTAAGAAACAGACTTCTGAATGAGGCAGAGTTTCGTGCCTCTTATTCAAAATCAGATAAACTCAAAGCAGTGAAACAGAGAAAACGTCCGAGTTGGGTGTAGTTGAACATCGGTTACTTTTATTAAACCTTCACACTTGCCTTTTTCGTCAATCTCATCATTTGCATTGCACTTCAGTGTGCAGTGAAGCCAGAGATTTACATTTGTTTGCACCTTCAAAATGGTGAAATCTTGTCTGAAAACATGTTGCTATGCATACAATCTCCAACGTTATGAAACGTTCATTCGACGACCCAGTTTCAGGCGGCTGTGTGGGATACACTGAGGCTGGGCCCGCATTGCTTGGGGTGGAAAAGTAAATGGACCTTTGTTTTCTCGTCTCTCTGAAAACGGTGCCTCTGGCCAATGACATACGCTTAGCATCGCCTCAAAAACCGCCTCGGCAACTGGATCTTTTATATATATGGCAGACTGAACGTGCCCTGCATGTTGTGGGTCATTAATGCTCTTGGTGTTAAGATCCTTCTGCATTTGTCCCTTTCTGCTGTCCAGGGTGTCTACCAACCTGGAGAACCTAGAATTGGCGCGGAACTGCAAGACCCCTGAAACAGTTAGGGAATTGTACCGAAAATAGTCAAAAGATTAAGTCAGAAAAAATGTCCAAAGTGGATGACATGCAGTAAAGCGGGAGGCCCACCCAATTCACCGGTAGAGACTGGAACAACCTGAACAACAGTTACCCAATCTCTGCATTTTCTTCTTTTAAGATGGTCGGGGAATTAAAGTGAAGCATTTGAAAAAAAATCTGGATGAACCTGTGAATTTGATGGAAGCAGTTTGGTAGACACCCTGGCGGACAATAGTTTGCTGCGGCCGGTGCTGTACTGACTCCTTTCCCGTACGTCTGCTGTGCAGTTCAAGCAGATCTCCCAGGCCTATGAGGTGCTGTCGAACCCGGACAAGCGGCGCATCTATGATCAAGGGGGAGAGCAGGCCATCAAGGAGGGCAGCTCGGGCGGTGGGGGCTTCTCGGCACCGATGGACCTCTTCGACATGTTCTTCGGGAGCGGCATGGGCGGCCGCAGGCGTGACAACCGGGGCAAGAACACCATCCACCAGCTGGGCGTCTCCCTGGAGGAGCTGTACAACGGTGCAACACGGAAGCTCTCCGTGCAGAAGTCTACAATATGCGAGAAGTGTGAAGGTGGGTGGAGTCTGCTGGCTAAGCGGCACGTGCAGACTTACGGGCGGCATTGAGGTGGGCGTATCTTTGAGGCGGCTTTCAGATGTGCTTCGGGATCTCGCGTTGCATGTCGCCCGTCGTCAAAATCTGTCTAGGTGTTAGTATCTCGGATACGTTCTTAAGTGTTAGATATTTTGACAGCACCATTTACTTACAACATGTATTCTTTTTCTTTATTTTTTGCATGTTTCTGGAGTTAGGATAACATCAGTTAAGGGCAGGATAAAGGTACTGCTGAAAGAGAAGCAATGAAGAGACCTTAGACTGCCACTGACACATTATGGTGAGGAGTTCAGGCAACAGTTGACTTTGTGGAACTAAACATCTACAGTTGGTGCAGCAATTTATTGCTCTCTCGTACTGTTTAGGATAGGTACCGAGCTGAAATGAGGTGGCACGGTAAACAATGTCTCGCCCGCAGACTGCACAAGTGGTATTGCCTCCTGTCTCGACCGAACCTCCTTCCCTGATTGACGCGAGGACGGCGTGTCCTAGAGCCTTTAAACAAATTACGCTTAAGAGTATTGTCAATCTGTTCCGACGATTTTCTTGTGGATGCCACCATTTTAATGCTTGGTGCTAAGCGGGTGCAATGGGCAATCATTACGATTCAGAAATTGGGCTTCCCGATCTCGAGATGCAATGTCTGGAAGCTTGGGTGATATTGATTTTTCGTTGCAAACTCTTTGAACGTTTTTCGGACAAAAAAAAGCATGTCCTGTCGCTTAAGATTAAGCTCGGGATAATTGCCAATGATGATTATAAGCACAGAGCTGGCCGAATTGTCGTTACTTCGAAGTGTAGCCTATTTTGGTGGCTCCAGCGTCTCCCTTTTGGCCGGGTGTTTCGGTGCCATTGACCCCTCTCTCCCCTTTGGACGACAGGGCGGGGCGGGCGCAAGGGGGCGGTGGAGCGCTGTCCGAGCTGCCGGGGCAGCGGCATGAGCGTGCGCATCCAGCAGCTGGTGCCGGGCATGGTGCAGCACATCCAGACCACCTGCCAGGAGTGCATGGGCGAGGGGGAACGCATCAACCCCAAGGACCGGTGCAAGACCTGCAATGCCAAGAAGGTGGTGCGCGAACGCAAGATCCTCGAGGTGCACATCGACAAAGGTGCCTTTCCCTTGTTTCTTTGTGGCGCTAGTATGTTGTCCAAAATGCGTCTCCGATGGCCAGGTGTTCGCTTGCGCTTCTTGCCGGGACTTCAGGCACCAAGTGCCGGGATCGCAACGTCGGACGACGTGGCATGCTGGCTTCGGCAACATTTGTCACTATTTGGGGACGGGCAGGATGGGACGCTAAACACGGCAGTTGAAGACTCGTTCCGGCGCCGTAGCTGTAGTCAGAGCTGAGCTGACTCGAGGGTCGGCGTAGGGCTGTGTGTCGAAAGTCTTGTTCGGTGCCGTTGGCGAGAGGTTGCGCAACCCCTTTGTCATTCGTTCTGGTGCAGTGTTTTTATTGGTAAGAAGACCCCTGGAAACCGACCGGCGCGAGCCAAGCATTCCCGACCTATCTCCATTGGTTCGTGGAACTGCGGGGGAGCTGCTTTTTTTGTTCCGGTTTTAGTCTTAACCCACAGGTGCTAGATGAATTGTTTGCATGCTCCGGCACCATTCTGTGACCTGTGGACTAAATTGGAAATTTATCATCCGTGTGCTACGTTTTGCGCTTGCACCTACCACCTTGTGCAGGGCATGTTGAGGTGTGACAGGAATGCGATACTCTTTATCTTTCCTTCAATTTTATATTACATTTATTATAAGGCGAGTTGCAATAGGAACCACCACACTGAGGAAGATCGGGTGAAGCAGGCTGGCAGGGGGAAAGACACTTAATTCTAACTGCCCTCTCCAGGGGCCAGCATTGGAGGGGGAGAGCGCTTCCCTTTGCATGACCAGCACGATAATGTCCATATTTTGATGAGCGGGATGTTTGGCCACTGTCATGACGAGATAAATATTATACCCTTTGCAATGCACCACTGGGCTTTATACCCTTTATACCCTTTGCAATGTACCAACTGGCCCATCTAAGCACGTTATTAAATATTAAGCTAGCGTGTCCCTTTACATTTGCCACTATGGGAATTTATTTGTTTATAATAGACCCTTTTCAAAATTGCGTGCCATCTATTAGCTACTGTGCTAAGTATTTGAGTCCACCATTGTTTGGACACATACTCTCGAGTATGTGTTGGACACCAGGGCCCGTTTGCTTGAAGCGTTAACTGTGGCTAAAGTTAGCCGCAGTACCTAGGAGAGGGATTTTGAAATCACGTGACTGGGCTCGGTAGGGATGCGGGGAAACATGGCGGTGCCCCGGCAAGTGAGCGCCGCTCGCTTTAAAACTAATATGTCGTTGTAGCCGCAATATCGGGCGCGTTAGTCAGCAACGAATGGTGCAAGAGGCTTTCGCTTTGCCTTAAAAACTTAAATCGCAAAGCATGAGCAATGACCTCGCCGCATTTTTTTTATAGTCTTTTGATTCTGGCCATCCCTAAGCTGAAATGAACGCCATTATTGTCGGCATGGCAGCGTCTTTGGAAAGTGGATCGCCTTGCACATGCTGGAGTCTGCAGTAGTAATTGTTATAAAGAAAAAAAAGTCTAAAACGAAGTTTGCCTTGCACGCGCGTTCCTGATTATGATTATTTACTTCGAATCTGGTATAAGTGGAAGGCCAGCGCGCGCGGACCGCAGAATTCCAGCGTTCTCGATGCTTGGGTAATGCTTTTGTGTGCTATCAATACCCGGCCGATTGAGTCAAGACAATCCGCTTTCCAAAGACATTGCCACGATGACAATTATCGCGTTCATTTAGGCTTAGGAATGACCAGAATTGAAAGACTATCTAAAAAATGCGGCGACGTCATTGCTCATGCTTTGCGATTTAAGTTTTTAGGTCAAATCGAAAGCCTCCTGCACCATTCGTTGCTGACTAACGCGCCCGACATCGCAGCTACAACGACATATAAGTTCCAAAGCGAGCGGCGCTTACTCACCGGTGCACCGCCATGTTTCCCCGCATCCCTACCGAGCCCCCAGTCACGTGCTTTCAAAATCCCTCTCCTAGGTACTGCGGCTAACTTTAGCCGCGGTTAGTGCTTCGAGCAAACGGGCCCAGGGGTCCGTCAGCATTCTGCGTGGGCTCGGCTCGTAACAAGCGCTGCCTTGGCGTTCGGCAAAGACTCGGGTCCAGTCACGCGCTTCGTGTTCAAGAAGTGGCGACCGCCAATGTTGCTTGATGCACTTTTGAGAAAGGTTTATTGCAGAGTGGTCAGCTGAAGGGGCAACTCTGGTCAATATTCATGAATTTGGGATTAAGACTGTTTTCAGCTAAACCAGTATCCCTGAATTCCAAGGTACCATTTTTTTTACATATTGTGTGTAGTTTTATAAATATCACTGCTCATCACAGTTTCGTTTTGGACGTCTGCGGCAAAAGCAAAACTGTCTGGTGGAGGGATGGCAACGCTGATCATAAGCGTCGCAATGGTGCTGCGCCAGTGTTCCTTGACTAAGAGCTAACCAGCTTGCTGTCCGCTAAAGAGCAGCTGGTCGCATCTTTAGCATAGATTTTAGTGGAGTGTGCGGTTTCACCTTGATGTAATATTTCGGCTGGGATCATATTTCGTGCCAGTAAAGCGATGCCAGTCATTATTTTTGGTTTCTTTTTCGACAGGAGTGCCAAAAAAAGTGCCATCTGAAATAGGGGGTGCGAAATGAACGAGCACTTAATCTCGGTTTATGTGATTGTTGCCGACTTGTGTTGCATTGGAGGGCGTTTCTTCCTGACCGGTGTGCAGGCATGGAGGATGGCCAGAAGATCACATTCAGCGGGGAAGGCGACCAGGAGCCCGGGATCGAGCCCGGGGACATCATTGTGGTTTTAGACGAGCGGGAACACGAGGTGTTCAAGCGCAGCCGCCACGACCTCATCATGCGCATGGAACTATCCCTCTCGGAGGCCCTGTGTGGCTTCCAGAAAACCATCTCCACCCTGGACAACAGGACGCTGGTCATCACCAACCTGCCTGGTCAGTGAGAGGGCCTTGCATGGCCTTCTCTTTCCTGGTTCTGTGGTAGTTTGACTATAGTAAGTTAGCGCCCAAGGAGGTAGGGCAAGGGAAACGAAGGCTGTGGAGGAAGAAGCAGATGGAATGCTGGAGAGGAGAGGGGGAAACCTTCTCTCTTGCATTTTGTCTGATTCCTCCTCCCCGGCCTTCCTTTCCCTCGCCCTACCCTCTTAAGTTGCAACGGACTATAACTGATCTTAAAACAGGCATGCAATCTTGTTTTGAGTGTCTTTAGCATATCTGTACACTTTTGCACCGTTTCCTCTGTTTCTTCTCGCACTCTCCCCTCCTCGTCTCCTGAGTACGGCAAGTTCGGAAGCAGATTTCCGCAGGAGGGAAGGCTCAATTTGCTTGCCATGCATACAGAACTAACGTAAACTGGTCATGAACGTCTTGTGAAATTGGTGGTTTAAGCAACACTCTGAAACTCTCTGCTAAAGCAATCTGCTTGGCCCAAGCAACCGCCGGATTCGAAGATTTCAGCTGTAGTACCCTTCTATACCTATGATACGTGGTCTTTTCCCGATTTTCCGCTGTCATTTGTGACTGCATGCTACCGGTGCGCTGTCACGCGGTCTCGCTGTGTGGCCGCAGGAGGTACAACGCACAGGCTATCGAGATGAGCAAACCTAAGTATATCTTTCGTTTGGAGAGGAAACCTTTTCTTAAAAGTGCTGTAGAGCACCTTCATGGTGTAATCGTTCATTCGTGTCCGTAATTTTCTCTTCAAAATGAACGTCGCCGTGAGTACTTCCGGTTATCACACACGTGCTTCCAGTGCGTGAACGATCAAATGAATCTGTCATAAACACAAATTTAGCGTGCATGTGGTGCTTATAGTTTTTCTACCAATTCACTATTTAACTTGCGACTCGCTTTTGTGGGGAGCTTTTTTTTTTATCTGGACGTGCTTTCTACGAGCGTCCGATCAACGTTTGGCTGTAGTAAACCGTGCTTCCATGTTGATGCTCTCGAATCACTGCTTTAAAAAGTTTTGCACTAAAAATTGCGCTTTAGCACCAGTTCGTATAAGCTCGAGGTACCTGGTGCCCACCTAACTTTGCAGCAAGCCTGTGTTTCTTGACCTCATCTATGTGCATTGGACTCTCGTTTGCTTTTTCCATTTTCTTTTTTTTTTTCTTTTATGTTTTATCTTGGTGCGTACCGACGCTGATGACTTACCGAAACCAGGGTGGAAAAAAACGATTAAAAAGGAAAATCTGATTTCTCTGATTTAAATCAGATTTTTATGATTTAAATCACTTTTTTTTTCACTTAAATTGCTTTCTCTCAAAATAATTTGTTTGTCAGTAACTGTCTTTCTAAACATAGCAGATTCATTTTCTAATAATCCCAAGCACATGAAACAGTCGGATATTAAATTTAATAAAGAACTTCCTTTTCCCGATATGATTCACGCATTGCTTTTAAATTGGAGCAATAACTGCTTGATTTGATTTTCGTTTAAAGAACAAACTTTATTTGCAGCGATGCACCAGAAATCTTAATACAACCCATTGCACACACTTCATTGTATTGAAAAGGCACCAAGTTGATGGTGTCTTTTTTTCTAATCTGCTCCAAATTGTAGACTTCTCTGCTCCGAAGTTGCTCCAAAACACATAAACTGCTGCTCCAAAACGAGAATTTTGTGCTCTTAAGCTGCTCCAAAATCCAGATTTTTCTGCTCTAAAAATTGCTCCAAAACGTGTTTCAGCTGTCTCACCCCTGTTCTTGAATTCCATAATAATCCGTGTATAATAGGAACCCGTGTATAATATGAACCCGCGTATAATACAAAACATAGTTTAAGGAAAGCGAAAAAAAAAAATTATATCTGCGTATAATACGAAACTAATATAAGGACAATGAAAATATTCCACATAAAGTATGACCCAGGAAGTCTTAAGAAAAAAGTTTAGTTGCGTCATAATTGAACCTCAACTACTGTCATGACTTTCATCAGACTCCTTGTCTGACGCCTCCTTCCAAAGGCAGTAGTCTTCAGTGCCGTCGAGTGCATTTGAAATTCCGCACCTCTCGAAAGATCGAGCGACGAGCGTGCGCCGGCGCAGTGAAAACTTGGCGCGGCGCAGTGAAAACTTGGCGCGGCACAGTGAAAACTTGGCACGGTGCATAAAGCGAGTAACCCAATGTCAGCTCGCCAAAGTTCTTGTGCAGCAGTTCGATGTTTACGGCGAGGTGCCGTTCACGTTGCTCTTTTATAAAGTCGCCGAGACTTGCCTTGACGTCGGCGAACACTCCATTCTTCGGGCTCCTAAAGCTTCCTCTCGTTCCGTTGCGCGCGAACTGAGCTTGCTTTTGTCGTCTCCATCCGGGGATGCTGCCCTCATTTACAGCGAATAGTCGTCCAGCAGCTTCTTGCTGGTGTCTTCCGCAACCAAAAGAACTTTCTTTTGAAGGCGACCGATTATTGTTTTTACGCCGACGCTATTGCCAAGTCTGACTGTGGACGGATGGTGGCACCTCGGACATTGTGATTTTAAGGATGATGATAGCTGTTTTGGGCGCCATATTGCTTTGAAACCGAAACTACGTCAAACAGCGTCGGATGGCGACTCATCGAAGCTGAAAATTGTTGGGACCCCGCATATAATATGAGCCACAAATTTTACATGGCCAAATTTGAAAAAACTCCTCATATTATATGCGGGTTCTTTCGGTAATTCTTTGTGCTTTTGCTGTTTCACTTGCTCTGGCTCTTCTGTTGGAAGGTTGAACACTAACCAACATCTCGGCTTCAGATGTCATTGCCATGAAAGTTTAACACTTGATATGGGCCATGTACTGCAATTGTTTAGGATCGCACAATCTTGTGGCATTAAGGTTGAGCTTTTCCGAGTGTCCAAAGCGTTCCCTGCTGCCTCGCGTCGTGCACTGAGCACCTTGCTCTGCCCCTTGCAGGCGAGGTGATCAAGAACGGTGCCGTCAAGTGCATACTGAACGAGGGCATGCCTCAGTACCGTAACCCGTTTGAGAAGGGCAAGCTCATTGTCCAGTTCCTGGTTCAGTTCCCTGCCCGCATCGACCCGGCCGTGATCGGCAAGCTCGAGAGCCTACTCCCGCCCCGGCAGGAGTGCATGATCCCGGACAACGCCGAGGAGGTGGGTTGCGTCTCCCTCCCTGTGGAGGGTGGGAGAGTCATATTTCGGTTCAGCATTTTGTTTTCGTGTACCTTATATTGGCCATTTCACCAAAAACTAGACATTTTTTTCTAGAAAGAAGCTGGTGTATGTTGCGATTGCCTATGACCAAAGAGGCTGAAAACCTGTTTTTAAGCCTCTTGTGATGGCTTGTGGCAGGCTGCATTGCTGCGCAATTGGTAGTCGGCCGTCGGAAGAGGTTTAAGAACAGGTCTTGTCTCAGTCAATCATAGTAAAACGAAAGTGTGTGAAGCAGCCTCAAGTTGTTCTGGAGGGGGGCAAACTCGCTTGTCACACGCTTACTGGTACCGCAGATTGCGCAATTGATGCGACTCCCATTGGACATCGCGTGATGTTCAACGGGAAAGGGGGGCGACATTTTGGAATTTTCGTTGCGGATATTTAGCCAGAAAAAGGGGATGGGCGATCTTGTGGGGCAGGGCACCCATGCGGAATTTTATGCTAGGTGCGTTTCAGATCAGATATTTTTATCTTATCAGGACGTACATGTTTCAAAAGCCAAAAGCATTGTGCCATCCTCACCTCTTCCTCGGACAACCAAATCTTGTAAGAACTACTTTGCATGGCATATGAACAATACACGAAACTAGTCCAAGCTCATTATAACAGACCTAGTTACAACAGACATTTGGATATAACACACCGATTTGTGAAGTTCGGTTGGTTTTCATCTATGTACCTTTGACTCAACTTCATACCTGCATACAACATACTCCTTTTACAACAGGCCAAAATCTTGGTCAAAATCAAGGTCTGTTATGAGCTTAGACTGTAGTGAGTAGTATAGATGTACCAAAGAACATGAAATTATAGCTTAAGAAATTTTATTTTTAACGATGGAAATAAACATATTTATTATGTAGCACAAGTAATAAATTTAATGTCGTAATTTGTGCAATTAATGCAGGTTTTTATTTTAATTTAATGTGCATTGCAAGGAACTAGGAGTAAAAAAATACAAAATATTTATTTTGTGCTTTACTCTTCTAGAAATAAATCTTGCAAGTTTGAAAAGTCCCACTGCAAAACCTCTTGTTCTACAGAAAAGAAGTTACATTTGTTGTGCTGTGTTACTCTGTAGTCTGTCTGGTCTGGTCTGGGCTGCCTTTTTGAAGGAAACTCCACTTGTTTTACTTTTGATGGCATAAAATCGTCTCTACATTACATCGACACCCTGCACATGAAATATAATGCATTCAGAACACACCCAACATCTTCACAGGAGCTCGCGGAAACAGTAAATATACTCAACCTTAGTGCGCAGAACGACACATACTGACAGTCATCTGTGGATGGTCTAAACTGGTTCGACTGGTTGCCATTACCGAAAGTAAACTCCTAATAAATGAACGTCAACTTCAGACTCGCTGCTACACCAGAGTCGCAAATAATCGGATCATGTTTTTGAAGAGCCTTGGTACGCGTTGAGGGTGCTGAATGCATTGAAATAGGGGTTTGAAATCCATCTAGTAAAACTAATAGATTCGAATCTGTGCAATAAGGTACGCGCTAAGCTTTCTTTGAGACAGCGTCCTTTGGGGGTTGCTGCGACCTTTTTCAATGTTTAAGCAGCTGTTTGCCCAGACAGTGAAATGAGAGAATGGGCAAATTTAATTTTGAGTGTACATTTTTTTTTTTTTCACACACAAACCATGCAACGAAGGGACTTGTACAATGAAATGTTCTGCCGGTCTCGCAGAATTCATTATAATGGGATTTGTCTGTATGCATAACGTGTGGGCGTGTGCTCCACTTTTTTGGGTTGTGCTGACGGCAAGCTTTCTTGCAGGTGGTGTTACAAGACTTGGACCCTGAGCAGGAAGCCAGGCGCCAGCGTCAACACAGGGAAGCTTACGAAGAGGACGAAGAGCACTTCCATCCACGTGGTGGCGTGCAGTGCCAGACCCACTAGGACTTGCAGCAAGCTGCTTTCTCCCACACTGTTTTTTAAAATTTTTCTTCTCTTAGGCACAGTTTCTGCCTGTCTGTGGCTGAAGTGGACTCCTTTGCAAGTGATGGACGTTAAAAAGAAATGTGTGTGGCAGACCGGTGTCACTGTACTAGCCTTTTTTCTTTTCTTCTTTTCAAGTTTGTCTGTATTTTTTTTATCACGGTTAGTTGTATTATATTTAAGTATACTGGCGTTGTTATTGTTATCCTGGCATTTCTCCCTCCGCTATTTATTTGGAACTCTGAAGAACGTCCCGGGTCTGTTGACTAACGGTAGCCTTCTTGGCTTGCACCACTTAAATCTCAAAACTATGGACTGTGCCAGTCAGCTTTGGCTCAGTTGTCACTTTTAAGGACCTCGTTTTTTTTTCTTCAACACACCCGCTTCTTTATTTTTTTTACCTTGTTTACAGAAGCATTCACATGTGTTAGAAAACGAGCTTTCTTTTTATTAAAACAAAGTGATTCTGTACAAAGCAACCTGGAAAAGATTGTGTCCCACTAATGAGTGTTCACTGGTTTGAGTCTGTGGTCCTGGATGCCACGTGGTAGACTCGAAGCATCTTCTTGACCAAGGCTCCAAACTCCTCCATGTCCACGGCAGTGTCGTAGTTGACGTAGCGGTTGGCGTCTATGCGGTACGCATTGATGTCAGGTAAGTAGATGTGGAGCTTCTCTTCATCGGCCTGTTTAAATTGGAAAAAAAAATTAGTCTGCAAATGTGAAAGACTCCGTTTTTGCAGAAAACTGGGTTTGGAGACATTTCTATTTTAGGAAGGAATGTTTTGTCGCATCTTGATCAATCCATGGCTGGGCTAGATTCCCACACTTTTTTCCCCGTATGGCGCTTGTTGTAGCAGAAAGAATAAATTGTGTTTTCACTCTGTGCACAAGATGGGGCAAGCTAGGCTGCTCAAGAGTTGACATGTGGCATCTTCGATCTACTCTCACCGGAACTGCCTAGAAACCAGAACAGTGCACAGTGCGAAGTCTGCAACATCAAGGACAAACTGTGTCGCGCCTGTGCACTGCGGCAACCGCCACCATCAGACACCTCGTTTTGTTTGTTTTCTCTTGCCTACGTCCTCGCATGGTGCCTGTCTGCTGTTAATGTCTTCTGGTTTTTTTGCAAGCAAATTTAGAAGTCGCACAAACGAACATCGTGAATGTGATTGTCGATGGGATCGTGAAGTTGGTGACAATTCCACAGGTATATTTTGTCCAATGCTTTCAACGAAGTTCATAACTTCCGGGCAAACTTTGCCACTGAAGCGATCGCCGTTCAACGGAAGTGGAGGAATACCTCCACTTTTGGTACTGCAAATGCTGGGACGGCACGAAACGTGTCCCGTTTGGACAGCCGTCTACTCACCGCGACGGACACGAAGACGCAGTCGATGTTGATGCCGCCCAGGGCGTAGTTCTTGGCGTGCAGGTCGCAGAGCACCTCGCAGATGCCCGCGGCTACCTGGAGCAGCTGGTGTGGCGTGACACGAGGCTCTGCACGGAGGAACTGCAGCAGCGGCACGTAGCCGTGTGGGGCTCGGAACGGGTGCGCCGCGTGTCCGTGGTCGCGACGCGTCGTCCCGTTGCTCGAGTCTGCGAGGGAGAAGAGAACCGCGTCCCGGATCGCAGGCTCACTATGGGCCTTTCCAAGAATCGCCTTCTGCGCGCTGCCATCTTTTTCTACTGGGCTGTGAAACGCGTTCTGAGCATGCGCCATAGCTCTCTTCCACGAAATACGCGAGACATTTCGCACCAGAGTGTAGAACCGGAACCGAACCGAAATCTTTGCCGCCATCTTGGAAGTGAACCGGAACTGAACCGAACCAAAATCTTCGCTGCCATTTTGGAACTGAACCGGAAAAAATATAACGGTAACCGGTTCAAAACGGTTCACGGAAATTTGTTTTTATTGCAAAATGAATGTTTTGAGAAATAACTTTATTTCTATGTGGTGATCACATTGTCATTTACCAAATTTCAATGTATGAGAAATCATGGACATTCGTGGCGATCTCGTATTGACACTATGATTAATCATAAGTCACGTGACGTAATGGTGTCAAGCATGGAGAATAGAAGGGTAGGAGAGGGCATGACGTCGGCCGCGTAGCCTCCACAAGCCATGCTCCCTTGACGCCTCGCCTCTTTCTCATTTTCCTCCTTACTCTCCTCACTTACCATGCCAACGTGACCACATCACGTGACCGTAGCTAGCCTTCGTCTTGCTATGGGGTACTAGAATACACCACAGTCTAGACTTCGATCTGATAAAACCTACCGGACGGAGCGCGCGGAAGCCTGCAAGGAGTCCTTCTACAATCAACCATCCATCTCGCACGTGACATGTCACGCGCACCAATCGCCAGAGAGATCTGTGGTCACGCTGGGCACAAAATCGTTTAAACTTTTTATGACTAGGCTTCACCAATATTGCAACGTGCCCCCTCCTAGTACTTCTAACCTCCTTGGTGTCAAGACATGCTGTCAAGTAATGTCACGTGGCCCCGTGACATAGTCACGTGATTCACTGCGTGACTTCAACTTATAGCGAGTTCGTTTCACACGCACTGGCACCGTTCGAGTTCTCTCCCAGAATGCATCGCACTCACAGAGTGTTGCACGGAAAACTGTACTCAAACGAACTCGCCAAATGCACCGAGTGCAGAAGACTGATGCTGCCGCCATCTATGTTGTAGAAAAGCTACCGACTTCAAACCGAAACTAGCGCCTTTCTGTTCCGAGATGCGTGGGAATGTGAGAATGTAGTCGCTACCAACGTTTATCTACAAACATTGGCAACTGCAACCTGTAGTTTATAGTTGCGATGTCTTCAAGCAGCTCGGCTGCCGTAGAGATAGTTACAGACGGCGTAAATTTCCGCAACCAGCTGTCTACAAAACAGCTGGTTGCGATCTTTCAATCCTTATAACCGTTTACACTGAAGAAAACTGATGATGCTGTCCGAGCAGAAGCTTGATCCGTTTGAGCCATAGAGATCATATACTAAATCTAGAGGAAAAGGTCCGCCATTTTCCCATACATTCTGGCTGCCGCAAGCGGCGGACCATGCAGGCAGACCCTCTGGGTCCCAAACACGGTTACATCATCAGAGCAGTTTCGTGAACTTCAACAATCCACGAACTTACCGGTGGAAAAATACTCGCGTTCCTTTCGAAGGTTTCTTTTTGCATAGCGCGCAGATGTACGGCCTCGCGTTAACGCTAAACTAAACCATATACCCGGCTTCGCTGGTGGGGCGCGGCTGGGCGCGGTTGAGGAATACGAAACTGCGCAACCACCAGATTTCCGAGATTTCGACAGAAGGGAAGTTAATGCAGCGTAATGACTTTATTGCTTTTTATAAGCGTTAGAATAGCTCAGAATTTAGTTTACAACGTTAAATTATCACTGTTTATATTGCTGAGAGTTTACACTCTTCGCGTTTACCGCGTTTACCGCGTTTACCATGGCAACGTTGCTTTCTTTCTCTCGTGTTCTGTCGCTCTCTTTCGCGATCGTTCACTCGGGACCCAGGATGTCGGCGCACGGGATTTGCCACTCCTCCTCACCCACCTTTACCCCCTGGTTTGAGCATGGTATTATGCGTGAACCACTGAAAGGGTACGGCTTAAAACTAGCCTGTTGGAATATCCAGCAAAACTGGGACTTTCGATTTGGATCGTCATTATAGGTAATTTAGATATTAGCCTTGATGAGGGCGTCGAGAACGAGAGCTTTCTCGAACAAAATACGACGGGGCAAGTTAGCTGCGTAGGTAAATGTTAAACGTGATGATGTTGCCCAATCCTCGGGTAAAGTCACCATCTTTAGTTTTCTCTAATGCTTATTGGGCAGTCAGAGGTTTCTGCTGGGGGAGTTTTATCGACAAATGTTAAATTTTTCACCCGGACACGGATGGTGATCGACATCTCGGGGGCCGCTGTTGCGTTTGTTCTGAGCATTTCCTTACACACTGGTATATTACAGCGTTTGTACGGCAACAGAGCGATTTAAAACCTGCAAATAAATCACGGGTTGTCAATTGCTTCCTCCGTGAAATAGCAGGCGCTCACAATTCAAGCTCGCGTTTGATTTCGTTTCCCGCGGGACGCGATTTCTATCAGAAAATCTACTTTTTTTTTCCGTTCGGTTCCGCGACACATCGTAGCAGACGAACCCTCGTCGTCTGCTCCCGCTCCTCGCCGGCCCCGCCGCAGCGAGGCATGACGGGATTGCATTTTGGCGCACTCCCGATTTTCTCGGTGCAGCGAGTGCATGCACGCGTGGGGTATCAGCGCTGAAACGAACTCGGAGAGTGCAACCACTCGTGGAGCGCCGGCCGAAACGAACCCGTTCCACGCTGCGAGTGGGCACGCGTGGGCACGAGTGCCGTGAAACGAACTCGCTATTAAATTGAGAACGTCGCTAGATTAGCGTTGTCGACACCGTGACGTCACCATGCCCTTACGACTTTACACCGCGAGTCACGTGGCACCGTGACATACTCTATACGCCTCGCAAGTGGGCTCATTTTCGTCTTCTGCGCATAAGAAAGGAAGTAGCGGTGACGTCAGAACGCCGAACTCTGATTGGCTGATCGCGGCCCCCTATCTCAGCGTCGTCTGCTCCTTTGCAACGTCGTCTGCTCTCAACGTCGTCTGCGTCTGTCTTACCTTTCCTGCGACTTTCGGAGCGAACTCGACCTCTCCTTTAAGAGAGGGCAAACGAAATAGCTCGAGCGGTACGTTGTTTTTGTCTAACAACTAGCAGACGCGCAACAAGGAGGGAAGTCAAAGGACTCCCAGGCGAGGTGTCCCGGGGCGCCGAGGTTTTTTTGCTTAGAACCGAGGCAAGTTCCCTCCCAAATACTTTTCCCCTCCATTCGTGTGCGGCGAGACCCCTCACTCTTTAAAGGGGTACTCCGCCGATTTTTGAGCTACCTCAACTAACTATATTTTCTGACTTCCCGGCCTTTACCCTTTCTGGTATGCTATTTAGTATCGTGAAATTCATAATAGTTATTGCGAAATCGGCAAATGAAAATGATGCAGAAACAGACATTCAAATATACCCGCCCTTTTCAGGGCCGTGACGTCAGTGGAAGTTCAGCTTGCCAGTCGGGCGAGCAGTCTAAAAAATAGAATATGCCAATCATTTGTTCCGTGCTGGAGCTCGGGGACTGGAGCCAGCTTCCAAGGCATTCATTTGACACCATGAAACTGCTTCGAATCAGTTGGGAACAAATTCTACAGTCCAAAGAGTGAACCCCTGCACTTCCAATGACGTCACTTTTTCATTGTTGCCAGTAGAGACTTTCAGTTTGAAAAACACGGTGAGGACCAAAATTGTAAATTCAATAACGTCGTGAAAAAAAATTATTTTGACCTAATATTTGGGATACTATTTTGGCGATGTTGTTTGGCGAGTTTAGCAAAATTTCAAGCAAATCGGAGACCATGAAGAAATCGGCGGAGTACCCCTTTAACGGCGTCGGCGGGTTGGCGCAGTTAACGTCGTCTGCTTTACGTCTGCTAGTCAAAGCGGTCAAAGCGATGGCTGCTTTACCTTTGCTGCGTCTGTCGGAGATTCACCGCTTTTTCATCGGCGAGAGTCACCGTTGCCTCGGGAAACAAGGAGATAACAAGAGGAAGAAATTGACCCCTTAATCTAAAATTGAGGTCAGCAATCAAAATATTATACGGGAAGGGTTCACAAGGGTCGGGCGGGCATATTCCACTCAGCACGCCAGCCGGTCGTGGGCAGACGGTCGCCGAGTCGCGGAGAGCCTGCTAGGCCTAACTGCCCAACTCGTTTGGTCGCGTTCGGTGGGATCGTGGCCGTGGGAGCTTTTCCCGGGTGTTTGTGGATCCAGCGTTCTTGTTCGTCGTGGTCTGTTTCAAGTACTTTCTTCTTTTTTCTTGCTGCTTGAAGTCGGGACGCGTCAGAACCGCACGTAAAAAAATAAACGTCCGTGGGTCGTCGCGACCGCGACGTTGTCGGCCATGCTGATTTGATCGTAAGAAGTGCGTAAGACAGCTTCGGAGCTGTCGTAGGATTTTGTCGTAACCTGCGCAAAACTTACGAAAATTTCGTTTCGTGAATACGAATTTGTTCTTAAGTTTTTTCTTACGCACATGTTTGGCGTAAGATCGTTTCGTGAATCTGGCCTCTGCACTTCCGAAAGTCGCAGGAAAGGTAAGAAGACGCAGACGACGTTGCGAGCAGACGACGTTGCAAAGGAGCAGACGACGCTCAGATAGGGGGGCGCGATCAGCCAATCAGGGCTCGGCGTTCTGACGTCACCGCTACCCCCCTGCGCGAGAAGCAGACGAACTTGCCCTCCGCATTGTCGTGAGCACGAGTTGAGTGCTCGGGTTCATGACGATCAGCATCGCCAAACATTCGAGTAATTGCTAGGGTCCAATCAAAGACGAGAATAGCCGAACTCTAACGATGTCTAAAGCTCAGCCCTTGCTTTATTCTTTGCCCACACCAGAGCACGACTTTGATAAACACTGAATGTATATAAATACCGTCAGATTGCGCGGCCGCTTGTTCTAATAGTGAGTTAAAAAGGGGAAAGCTGCTTCTTT